TAAGTAATGTCATAAACAGGGCATGTGACGCCTCTCCCTTTCAATATTTTGAGACGTAGCACACAAACATTCCCACAAGTGCCCGAGCTACACGCGGCATTAAAGGCCACTTGCACGTGGTGTCACCCTGTCATGGTAAAAACTGAAATGGTTGCCAAACTCGACTTGTTCGTCCGATTCCTTAACCAATTAAAGTCGATATCTATCAGTCCTTCTGAGGTGCCTTCCAGTGGCACAGCGGCATGTTTGTGGACATATATTGCTAGAAACTGAATTACGATACCTGTGGTGGGCAGAGCACAGATAGCCCTTGGTGTAGTTTTGTGCTTAACAACAACCGTCTGAGGAAAATGGACAACTGTGCAACCACATCAAAGAAACAAAAAGCAGAAATTATATACACGGTATATATCAATGAAAAAATAAGTATTTTTTTATATTTCTTTCTAAAATTGTGTATCAACCAATAACAAACAAAAAAGATGTCATGAGAGAAGATAGAAAACTTGGTCTTCTCAAAAAAAAAAAAAATCTTTCTTCCCAAGTCATTGAAAGAATTCAACCTAAACTTTGACCAAGGTTTCTTTTTCCAGAGATCTCTTAGCTTACATTTTGTGTGAATATTTGTTCAATTAATTTAATTTAATTAATTTTATTTAACAACTTTAATATAGGTCACCACAGCTGTATATGGTGATGCGCAGAAATTGTATGATTATCCTTATAATGTTACAGCCTAGAACTCAAGACATCATAAAACAGTGGAACCTATTAACGAAAGATTGTTTACAACTCCAATGCTATATTGTTGATTAGATACGAAATTTAACAAACATTTTTTTTATAAAATCTCGGCGGATTTCCAGAAGAGCGCATGTTCTAAAAATTGTGACGCGATTGGTACGTTATCTGCTGGAAAAGGACCTTCATATATTGTTTGTTTTTTAATATAATAATACGAGTTTACTATTAATGTCAGTCAATTAGATAAGTTGCACAGTTCCATAAACTGTGAATAAGACAAACCCAGTGAACCAGCTCGAGAAATTCTGATGGTGACACAGTGTTCCTGAAAAATCAGGACTTTTCTAAACAAATTGAAACTGGGACTGAGAGGGAGTTCAATCTCGAATTCTGTTGACCAATCAGCAGAATTATGGGATATTTTAAAGCTCGCCCCAATTTCTGTTTACACTTTTTCAAAAAAATTTCTAAACCTAATTTAAAAAAATAAAGTAGCCTACATTGAACTATAACTTCTAAATGCTTCACTCTTAAGTTATACATTTAGTTTATGTTGTCTCCAGGCGGGACAGCGGTAAGTTTACGCACTTACAACACCAAAATCCGGAGCTCTATACCCAACGGTGAACACAACAGATAGCCCAATGTGGCTTTGCTCTAAAACAAACAAATCGTTTATTGTAATAGTCTTCGCCGACAGTGGGTAAAACAGTCATTATTAACCTGTTTGCTTACATTTTCAAACTCATTTTGCAAATACGACATACATTCTAGAGTTTAGACTGTTTCAATCGTACGTCATCGTAATAACGTAATTACAATGTTGTAATTAGTAACATAAGAAACAAATATAGGCTATATACAAAATAGATATTATCATGAAGATTTACTATGCAACATAAATTTGAACGTTTTACTACACTAGGTAAGATAATGACCTACATTGTACATTTTCTTGCTATATTTAGGCCTAAAAGAGTATTCTTAATCTAGGTCAAACGTTAGTTATGTTAATATCATGTGCCTTTACTTACTTAATGATATTGTAATACAAATCAGAAGCTTGAATAAAGAAAACAAAGTCATCCACGTTATGCATTATTTTCATGCTCGTGATTCTTTATAAAGGTAACGAAATTCAAAACATATTCCGAACAGTATCTGAGAAAATTAACACACATCCCGCTGTTACAGAAGTGGGTATGCTTGCCACTACACTTTCGGGCATGCCACTAACGTATACTAGCGACACAGTTTCGGTTTAAAAAAGTATCGGAAAATACTTGAAAATTACAAATAATATAATACCGGTATCGGGAAAGAGTTTTTTTGTTTTTTTTTTACAGCTTAGAGTGAGTATTTACGAAAGATTTTGAATGGATTTCTACCCAATCAAAAGTACTTATTTACAATTCGACAGCCGTTACTTTTAAAACTTTTAAAATTCAGTAACTTCTCACTGGTAAGTGTAATGCAAATTGTACAGAAAACTGTTTACTTTAATATTGTTTTCTATCATGTAAGATGTTTCGTTCCAATAGTACAAAAATTTTCAAGTATTTTCTAAAAGGACCAGATTGGAAAGAAAAAGTTAGGTTTAGGCAGACCAGAAGTGCTTTATTTTACACATTTGTAAACGTCATAATAAATGTTGTATAATATAATGTTTATATATTGAAAATATTACACCATGTGAATAATAAGATGTTCCCCCATGTTATTCATACTTTTTGCTGACTGTCGGCGGACCGCCAACTGAAAGAATCCTGAGTAGTAAGTAATAGAATTTAATTTAAGTTATTTAAATACACTAAGATAAATAGTTAAACGTTTCCAGCATCGTCCATCCCCGCTCTCCGGTGGCTTGGCGGTAAACTTGAAGGCTTAGAACGCTACCATCCGTGGTTTGATTCCCGCTGTGGATATTGATGATAACGATTCGTCTGGTTCCGTAGATCCCAGTTTGACAACTACTACCATAGATCGTTTCACTCAGTTTTGGCTCTAAAGATCCACTGAGAAAAACTGAATAAAACTTTATAACGCTAATTTAACGCAAATAAGAGTGAAATTAATCTAACACATAAATAAAAAGCCAATGTGCGACCCGTCTCGCTTAAATCCTCGAAATAGGTGAAGTCA